TTGTTATGGAAGGTTTATTTTTTTGAATTTATATATATATATAAAATTCTTTTTTTGGCGTGTTGTACAATATACCTCTTCGTTTTGTGAGGATTTGGAAGTGATGGAGTCACGTGCCAGATCTCGATGCTTGATGACACCGTTTTAATGCAATCAGTCCAAATAAGGCAGATACGCGAGGAAAAAAGATAGAAGGAGAGAAGTGAAATGACAGGAAGGGACGAGGGTTATAGAATGGACACTTAATACAGAATAACTCGTGATTCCGTGACGTGATGCGACGATGACTGTCGAAAATCAGCATACCGCACGGGCTCGCTTATATTTTTTAATCGAAGCTGAAGCTGCGTGCACATTTTCGTGACGACATAATTATTTATTTTTTTTATTACTCGTTATCATCAATCGATGTTATTTAGCGTTGCATGTACTTTTAACGAGCGATGACTTTCTTTCGCGCGAATACAGTGATTTTGACGCATTTTCGTAAAGTTATAAATCATCGAATATTATCTATGCGAACAGTCTGTAACCGGCTTGGGATCGCTCCGCCAAAAAGTATCGCAAAAAAGTAATAGACTTTCGGCACAAGAAATCGATTTGCCGGCGCGATTGTCGCGTTACCGATGAGATGCGGGCGTAATTAATCTTGAAATGATGACCGCACTCAGCAAGAGAATTTGGTATTATTTCTTATTTTATTAATTTACACGGAAATTTCATGTCAACTTAATTTTGTAAGTGGGAAAAATGTAGTACGCGAAAAGTGATCTCTGGAACAGATACGTTAACTTACCGTCTCATCTTTACCTTGTCATTTTTCATACTTCGAGAGTAAAATTTCTCAGCGTCAGTAAAATATTTCACTCTGCGATTCAATCAGAAAACAAAATAATCCTTTTTTTGCAATCAAGGAGTAGCCGGCGCTGTAATCGCTATCGAAGAAATTAGTTACTGCGCTGTATGCAATGAATTTATATATATTTCGAAGTCACACTAACTGTCAGAAAAGTCGTTCCGAGCGATAGGCTCGCACGGCGAGCCGATGAGGCAATTTGCTCGTTTTATCTCGACCGGTGTTCTTCGTTTTTGATCCCGGAGCAAAGGGAAACTACTCACTTAAGATAGAGTATCTGCCTCGTACAACCAAATCGACGACTTCTACGTTCGCGACCGAACGTTACATTGGCTCGTCGTGAGCGAGCACGTCATCGTTCTAATTAATTCCAACGCCCCGCGTTCGATTGATCAAGATATAGTGGATGGTGCAATTAGTGGCTCTTCCTTCGAGGGCTGATTGATGCACCGGCGCCTCCGCTTGTTCGACGAGATGCAAAAAAGGTGAAGCGCGTTCCCTGACTTGAACAGTTTTGTGACGCCCAAAATGAGTGCTTTGCCTGGTTCGGTATCACGTGTCAAAAACAGCTAGTGTCATATATATGTTAACAACAATGTCTGTGAAAACAATAAATAGAGGATAGCAAATTAATTATAATTCATATAAATTTGTGTATATAATCTTGAAATTAAATAAGTTGAATAAAATTGGAAAGTACAAATCTTTAGATTTGCAACTTAAAAATATCTCAAGAAAGGTTTAAATTTATTTATGAGATAACGCTGTATTATTTATAATCTTCTATAAAAATGTATATATATTATATATATATATACACATATATAT